CTGATCTGAAGCGATGGGAGTACCCCAAGTTGCGTCCTCTCGGCGACGAAGGCGTTGGCACAATGATGCAGATCCATTGAGGGCCTCTTCAGCAGACCTCTTGTTGTTCTCCATGACCTCAAACCTATGGAAAAGCAGGAACTACACCGAAGACGAAGAAGGTTTGAGACAAAACGAGTTGTTTTTTTGATCCACAGCCGTGGCCCGTATATATAACCTAGGAAAGTGAGAAGGTAGATTTCGCCGGGGGTGTGAAATTAAAATCAGAAACGGAAACGGATCGACACTCCGGAAATTCAGGGGACAGATAACGAAGAGATAACGGACTTGAACTTATTGCTTTCCCAAATTACAAAATATCATGGGACGGATACGAAGAATTTACATTGACCAGAGATTAACCCACCAGGTCTTCTTTGGATTAAAGGGAGTCCGGATCCACACAAGGCCGAAACTCATCGTGAACCGAGTCACATCGGCCCGTTGATAAAATTGTGCTAGAAAAGGGGAAAGGCCGCCCACCTAACATATGCTCAGCAGATTTCTCAATTGAGGAACTATGGGAAAGAAGCCTGCGGCTTTCCCAGTGGGCGTTTGGAGGAGCAAACAAGGGGAGGGTGTCCACATATTTTAGCCCTCGCAAACACTAGAACAGCTTTGCGAGCATGGAGAGAAGACTCAGGTGATATCACAAGAATTCTTCTAACCACAATGGCTGGTCTTCTTGCTCAACGAGGCGCTAGAATGAGCGACACAATTACCCTATGCACAAGAATTTTTCTAACCGCTTGAGATCTTCATAGCAAAAAGATAGACCATGGAGGGTTCAACGGAGTCTGGATCACTCGAGGAGGCAGATAGAAAGAAACATGGATGAATTGTTGAGTTGCTCTCGTTAGGGTCGGATAGACATTTTATAGCCGGCCCAGAAAGATGAGTCCAAGTGCCCGTGAAGCAATGATTCTCTCGTGAAAGTTTTGAAGCATGGGCTCATGAGCTGACATAGACGATGACAAACAGTAGACCCCAGATCAAGATTTTCTACCCGTGACTGCGGACCTATCAGGGATACAGACGTGATAATTTTGGAATAAAATTACTTTTATCCCAAAATTGGGGGGCATGTGTTTACACCAAAATTTGGAAGGAGAGTCGCAGGGACTCGAAAGCTCCTAAGATCATGTCATCAAGGAATCAATTGCGTACAGATTGGAATCAGCTGATTCGAATGCAACATTGAAATCGGCTTTCTTCAGATAGCGCCAACGGATAACGATAAAGGCTACAATCGGCGCCAGGACGAAACATGTTGGACTCTACAAAAAGGGAAAGATTAGAGTCCAAGTTATCTTAAATTAAAAATATTTTCTCTAGGGTCAAAAATTATGATGAGTCGTGCTTAGACAGAAGTCATGCGCAGATCCCAGGTATAAATATCGAAGCCCGGCTATTGTAAGGGACATACAATCAATCAAATAGAAGTTACTTATCTTTTCGACTCCGACCACCCCTTAGGAGTAGGAGTAGAGTAGATCTCGACGAGTTCTTCAGCAAGTACGGCTACATCGATCCGGTCGACCTCCACTGCTTGTCTGTAAGTACCATCATGACTTATACCTCTGTTCGTACGGCTGCATCGATCCGGTCGACCTCCACTGCTCGAACTAGATTAAGGTCAAGTTATTGGCTCTATCTAAGGGTGGCGTTCCTTTGGATAGATTCATTAAGTTACCGATATTGCTTATTGCTTCCATTGTTTGTTAACCCATCGTTTGTTAATTTAAATTGATTTAATCTGTATTTTAAATGATGAGTTATGTTTTATCGGCTGTTTTACGTCAATCTTGATCGTGCATAGTGTGCGGTTAAGGCATGTTTGATCTTGAGTAGATCTATTAGTTAGCGAAAACTATTCTATGGCCTGTTATCACGGCCTGTGTGATTCTACCTCATACCCCACTATTAGCACCGCGGAGTGGGGATCGTTATTTGGTAGATCTGTTCCTGAGAGGACATGACCTTAACTGTACGCTATGCCTGAATCGGCTGTTTTAGACGATATAGAGCGCTTTCACGAACAGTTCACGTCACGAGACCATTGAAGTAGCGGTAGATTGAAAGATGTGTTAGCCTCATGATCTTATTATTGTATTACGGCCTGTATGATTCTGCCTCATGCCCTACTGATATTAGCAATAAGTTAGGTTCGTCGAGTCTATTGTTGTTTCTACGGCCTGCATGATTCTGCCTCATGCCCTACTGGTCATAGTGATAGATGAGATCTAATATGTTCATTAGATTTATCTCTATTAAATGGTTGAATGATGATGAGCTGTTTCTTTCATAAAAGGGGTTCCGTTACTTGCAGTCATTGGCTTAGCATGAACTAATTACTGTTGATATCTTTTTGCTAGTGACCAGTATTTGTCTAAACAATGATATTCATCCAGAATAATAATCGATTCTTCTTACACAACTCCATGAGCTTTAACCGATTTATTCTTACGAATATGCTGGAATCGACTATTTAGTCGATCTCCTTTCATATCGGCTCTCAGAGCCGTACATTCGGGACTGTTTGGCAACACCGGCATGTTCCACCCTTAATTACTGATAAGCTTTCTCTCCTTGTCAATTGTAGGGTCAAATTGACTGGCACGTCTCGAGAGGAGTGCGCAGGATCGACCATCCCTACGCTAAAGCTAGGCGGATCTCCAGCTCCATCGAGCGGACCCTTCCGGCTTGCTCGTGTGTCCTCGACACGGGACAAAAATTCCGTGTCGACAAGCTCTTTATAAAAAGAGCAGCCCACAGACAGATATAAACTAAAGATAGTGAATTAGATATTGAGGTTGGCAAAACAGGTCTGCTACTACTAGTTCATGCCATTAGAACATCACTGACCTCAACAGCAAGGCAAGAGTCTGAAATATACCATATATAAACTAGGCTACAGAAACAAACACGCCCACTACTTCATGATAGTCATCACAAGTAAGCCAATGGGACAATGAACACTGTCATGTCAAGACTGCACAGCTAGCACAGGTGGAACACAATTTAATAGGACATCAGACAATTCTCCGAGTAAGAGATCCTATGCTGGAAAGGAGCACAGCAGTGCAACCATTATTCAGAATAAAGTGTGTGTCATTATAAGATAACAAAAAACCAGAGCACTACAAGACACGTGTTCAAACTCGGTTTAGCAAACAAGCAAAACTAATCCATGCTAGTATGTTTATCACACCATTCGTACTAAGGTGCCATAAACACCAACCATTATTTGCTCTGCATTCAGTTAAGAAAACAAGATATGACAAAATGAGAAGAAAAAAACAAAGCATGAACAGAGATCGAAATAATAGTTGGTGACATTGAGAAATTTGGATAAATACTTTGAAGCCAGAAATAATCTCAGAAGCTTGGTGAGGGGTCCATGCTAGTAGAGCTGACATTTCATTCTCTAAACTACAAATTCCAATCCAACAAGAATCGAAACACATGTTCAGATGCCATAATCTTCATTTCTTCAACTAATCAGATTTAGAACAAAGATAAGTAAGAAACAAACAAACTACACCAAGATTTGGCTCAAATGACTATAGTGCAAAAGTTAGAGATGCAATATTAACCACAGAGCATGCAGTGTCCTTGCTCTCTAAAATTAGCAAACCAAAACCTGAAATAGATCAATGAAATGACCGGAGTTGGTCGTCATCAGCTGAAGAGTTGGGGAAACAGCTCGGCGTTTCCCCATGCCTCCCAGGTCCCAAATCTGCCGAAGGACCACCCCACCCAACAACACGAGATTCAGATGATGGAATGGAACCTGCAAAACAGATCGAGTCTCCACATAACCCCAAACCAAGCAGCAGCAATGCAGGTGGTGGACACGACACAAACATTCAAATCAGGCAAGCACCATGCCTGATGCACCCGATGTAGACATTGAACAAGGATTAACCTAGCGCCCCCATGCCACTGCTTGCCAAACGCGCGCCCCGCCGGCAAGCCCCACTTGGCCCGCGCACTCGCCGTGCCTGCCGTCCGAGCAAGGAACCACGGTCGCAGACGAACATCTGCCTACCTGCGAACAAAGCCGATGCGCCACGCACCCCAACAACCGCCGACAGCCACAAACCAAAATCCTCCAAATCCAACGCAAATCCCCCGTCTACATCCAAAAATCCCCCACCCAAATCTCCATCCATCAGGCAACAGATGAGGCAAACTTCATATCAAGAGAGAAAAGTGACGAACGCAGGTACCTCCAGAGCTCTAGGAATGGCAGATGAGGAGCGAACAACCGATTCGGTGAGGGGGAGGCCACGAACAGAGACAGGGCGGGGCGGAGCGGTGAGGTCGCCTCTCGAATTGCCGCGACGCCGACGGGAGCAAATCGCCGGGGGAGCATGAGTTCGCCGGAGCAAATCGCCGCAGCACCGGGCGCGTCGCGCGACAGAGCATCGGGGTCGGGGGAAGTAAGACGAAGGGGAAATGAAACGCTCAGAAAGGAAGTGGCGTGATTCCCGATTTTTCAACAGTACCAAAAAAGTGGGCCCTCCTAATCAAAGATAGAAGCGGCGGTGGTAAGGAGACACACACGATGCCAATCCAACGCACAGAAAATTCGTGTGCCAAGACAAGCTAAAACACACGTGTGTCCTTTAGCATTTCTGTAATATAATCGGCAGCTCTCCTACTTGATTCGTTTTTTAAAAAAAATACTACTGAAGGACGGTGGTAACTACTCATAATTTAGTGGCACATATAAGAGGTGCTTATAGAAAGGACGATGGTTGTAGGTCATCACCATGCTATTGAAGTAATTTTCTCGTAGTGTTAGGTACCAGAGTTGGCTAATGGCTATATATATACTGTCCATAATTAAGCCGAAACTAGTAACAGCAATTTTTATCCCCTTGTAAGTTGCATACTTGCATCACACATGATGACTCGTCAACTCGCCGCCGTATCCGTCTGAGAAGACTCGTCCTTCACCGTCGGTTCAGACTCAAGATCGAGTCAGTCAGGAAGGCGTTGCACCTGCAGATGGGGCACGTCGAGTGGCCCTGCAGCCACTGGTCGATGCAATGGCGGTGGAACACGTGCAGGCACAGCGGCAGCCGCTTGGCCGTCTCCTCCTCGTCCACGTCGGCCAAGCAGATCGCGCAGTACTTGGACGGCCCGCCGTCAATCTCCTCCTCGCATGGCGGCCGCTGGATGGCGTCGTCGTCATCAGCGCCGGCACGCGCTTTGCCGCGCGCGGCCGGTGGCTCCCGGGGAAGCGCGGCCATCATCATGAGACTAGTACTAGCTTGCGCCAAAGGTACGCGTCGCTGCTCGCACGGGTACGACGGGTACAGAGGCGGCGGCGGCGGCGGGACGTCGTGATCGGCGCCACCGGCACGCGCTACGCCGCGCGCGGGTGGTGCCTCCCAGGGAAACGCGCCCATCATGCGACCACCACCACGATCTCCATACCTCTGCGCCAACGGCACGCGCTGGTGCTCGTACGGGTACGGCGACGGCGGCAGGACGTCATCGGCAACGCGGACACGTGCTCCTCCGCCGCGCGCAGCCGCGGCCGGTGCCGGTGCCTGCCGGGGGCGGGGAAACACGTCGACGGTCACAAACGACGACCGCTGCGGCACCAGCAGCGAGGGCTCGCCGCGGAGCCAGGGGACGAGGTCGGCGCAGACGCGCGGGTAGTAGGCGGCGCTGATGGTGACCCAGAAGACGAGGACGAGGCCCAGCGCGAAGACGGCGCCGTACCGCCGCGCCGCGGCGATCCGGACGACGGCGTAGACGAGCGCGCTGGGCAGGCCGACGCAGGCCGCGGTGGCGATCGCCAGCGCCCACACGCGGGTCACGCAGTCCGCCGCCATGGATGGATGGATGGATTATTCCCGGGTGGGACGAACGCCAGGCAGAGTCCGTCTCCTCTGCTCTTGGAGTTGGGGTCCGGTGGGTGGTGATGGCGAAGCTGCCGCCGCCAAGGAGACCGAGAGCGAGCGAGCAAGTGAGTGAGTGGGAGTGACACAGCACGGTGGAACCCCACCCCAGTCACGCGAACGACGGAACGAGCTACTTTGCCACCCTCGTTTGCGTGTGGGGCCCACGGCAGACACGCCATGCCTCCGTTCACCGTTTGGCTTTCCCTGTCAGCGGGCGTGTGCGTTGCATTCTTTTATTTTCCAACCCCAACTCTGGGTTCATCAGTTGCTTGAGTGGAGTATCTCTCCCTTTGTTTGTGCAAAAGATTGGGTTTAGCTTATTGGAGATTGACAAGGTGACACCTTCCTCCCTAAGCTACCTCCCTTCCCATTCAGACACTACTGTCGCGCACCTCTAATCTCTAAACCAATCACAGCATTGCCTTCTTCCTCGCACGAACTAGCTACGCCTAGGCAGCTAGGCTAAGAAATGGTAGTGTAGTGTAATTAAAGCCTGTAATTAAGGAGCAGCCGAGCTCGGCAGCCGGCTCCCAATGGAGTTTTAGCAAGGACAGGGCAGATCACCGCGCTTGCAGGCGGAGGCGAGGCATATATGTGCGGCAGCACGCGGCGGGGGGGCGTGTTTTTTTTTTTTTTTTTTTTAGGGAACACGGCCACTGGATTGAACCAGAGGAGGTTCGGCTAGCCTAAATCTAGCCCCATTTACTCCTGCTCTGTTGCTCAAAAGAGGAGGGACGCTGCGTTGGTACAGCGCCAGCCAGCCAGGGACTCCAGTACTTTAAACCCTCGACCACCCGCGCCCACAGTGAAATGAAACAAAAATGGCAAATCCATCTGGTCATGGCACATGCAGCCCTGGCCTGGCCTGACCCTTCCTGATCACGCGGTTTCGACGAGAGCTGCTGCTATGGCTGGCCTCAATGCAAGCACAAGATCAATGGAAGTACTAAGATTGCCAGTGTGGAACCAAGTGTTGTTGTACGGAGGGGAGGAAACGATGCCAGCCACTTAGGACCTCTTTGCAGGGCTCCGGCTCGGAGCTGCGACACCCGCCACTCCGATTTTCTCTCCCCTCCTTAGACTCTCAACGACGACACTAATCAGCCGGACAACAAAATTTCGGCTCATTTTGCAAAAAAATTTGCATCTAAACTGGGCCCAAGTGTTGTTGTACGGACGGGAGGAAACGATGCCAGCCACTTCATTAGAGAGAGATAGAGGGGTATTGTGGTCTTTTCCGGTAGCCCAAACAGTGAAAAAAGTCGGGTAGAATTAAGAAAAGAGAGAAATCCTCAAAATCCTAAATATCAAAAGAATTCGCGTGTGTAGAGTTAAATTTCAAAAAACCTACGAATTGAGGATTAAATGTTGAGGGACGTGCGAATTTGAAGTTAAATATCAAAATTTCTCCACTAAAGAACACTAAGCAATAGGCTTTTAAGATTTATTAGAATATCCGTATAGACCGTAGCCCATATATAAATTCTAACAGTCGTTGTCAACTCGTGCAGTACCCATCTCACCTCCTTGCAGTGGTAGTTGGAGGTCACAGGTCAGCTTACCTGACCCTCTGTAACGCATGCGCATGTACATATGGATACATAACACACCCAATGTTCCAAATTTCTCCGAACAGAAAATATTAGAGGAACGATTTAGCAGCCCGAATTATAGAGGACAAAGGTCCATTGAGCACACTAAAAACCTTTGGAAAAGATGCTTACGCACGCAACACCGTACCAAGAAGCCAAATTAATTACCCACACAAAGGCTGATAGAGCATAGACCGCTCTAAAGTATATTATTCTCAGTACTGAGCTCCAACAGCAACAAAACTACTGTAGCGGCCAATAAGGCAACGAAGCGTTTGAGTTCAAACACACGGGCCCAGTGGCCCTTAATTAGCTATAACTTGTCCCTGTACTTCCACTATATTTGCTGAAATGATAGGACGCGGGAGTCCGTCCTGTCCGGATGCCGCGCGCCTAGGCCTACGGACCAACTGGTCCAATTAACCTTGCGTCTGTCTCCTTCGGTTGGTCCTGCCACCCGCCTCGCGCAGCTCCTTCTTCTCGATCCTCCGTCACCCGTGCCCTCTTCCGTTGCTCCTGTCGCTCGCCCCGTGCTACTCCTGCTCCTCCGCCGCCCGCCCCCGCTGCTCCGCCACCCGTGCTTGCTGCACCTACTCCGCCACTCGCCTGGCCTGATGACACCGACAGGCACCGACAGCGCAAGGAGAAGCGTCAGGCCCGGGTGTTGAAGCCCTCCAGCCTCACCTGCTGCTACGGCTGCCCGATGCAAATGACGGAGGAGGCTGCACCATGATGCGTGTTGCAAGCTCGCATTTCAAATATTTCAGATGTTTTAGAAGTATATTGCAAGCGTTTCATACGGATGTTGCAAAAGTAGAGCGGGATGTTGCAATGGTTGTACACGTATATTGCAAAAGTCTATCTCCAATGTTTCATCTGTTTTTTGAGACGTATGTTGCAAGCGTGTTTATTTAGATGTTGCATATGTTTTCACACATATGTTGCAAGTGTTTTATCTGTATGTTGTGTATGTTTTGCAATAGTTTACAAGTGTTTCAGACGCATGTTTCAAGTATTTCATCTGCCTTTTTTATATATTGCAAGTGTTGCATCCGAAATATTTCAAAAGTAGATCAGGTGTTACATGTGGGCATACGCGTGGGAAGCTGGAGAGGACACGGGAGCCATGCGAGTGCGTGGACGAAGGAAAACGGATTGCAGCACCATAGCCGTTCGGACGTCCTGGCGGTACGGAAAAAAAAACTATATTTGGGGCTACACATTTAGTCTAAGTAACTTAGTAAGTGCTGCATGAGATCGATGGGAATACATTAACTTTTCTCGTCGACGTCGTTGTGGCTATCACCTGTTCGCTTGGGTTTTGTCTTATAAATCGTACTTTTTCAGTCAATGAATAGTATTTTTCTCTCACATTAAATTAGTCAACGATACTTTTAGCCATAGTTTATTAGCCAAACAAGCACATACGAACAGTGCTATATGTTTCAATTTCATCAAAACCTTCGAGTAGTTTCTTTCTTCGGCTCCATAAGGGCAGTCCTAATGGTGCGTTGATGATGGTTTATATCCTCATTAAATGACTTGCCACGTAGGTAAAATGTTGACATGGCAACGTAATTAATAAAGAAAGAGAGCAAAAATCATAGAAATTGTTTCCTCATGAAGAAATCAGGTCTACTCTGGACCCAATGCACAAAGAAACCATGAAATCGCCATTGGGGAGAAACCACCAGTTTCTAGGGAGCTCGTGTCGCACTCTCATTGAAGAAAGAAGATAGAGTTGAGAGAGAGAAAGAGAAAATAATTATTACTTCAATTTCATCAAAACCTTTTTTTTAGTGCGTGTCCTATATTATAGAAACTTCTTCGGCTCCATAAATAGTTGGTAGAGTTAAAGCTGTTTTGATGAGCCGCCACGGTGGCGGCGCGACTCGACGGTGGCTCGCCTCGACGGCGCCGCACCTCCGCCTTGACTCCACCAGATCTGCCCCAATGGAGCACCGGCAGCGACACTCCGCTCCAGCGTTGACCCACCCTGACAGCAATGCTCTGACCCGCTATCAGGGCTCACGCTCACGGAGGGGTATTTTCGTCCCGGCCAGTAAGCACAAAGGAAGCACCGGGTGAAGCTGGTTTTTTCTGCTCCTCCTACCTGGCAGCACGAAGCTTCACAGGCGAAGCTGTATCTCGGAGACCCATTTGGCAGACCTGACATAGAAAGAGCATCAGGTGCTGTTCGAGCATCAGTACCAAACGCGCCCTTAATTACTATACGTGCATGCGTGCATGCCTTTTGCTACATGTCAATAGGGATATTAGCATAGCATTGTGTTGGATATTGGCTCTCTCCTTACCGACGCCTAATGACGGGCCAATGTCGATAGGGATATTGGATCATCCCTCTACCAGCTGTAATGATACCTAATAATGATATTAGCAAATCTCCAGTTCCCTACCAGTAGTGTTGCCGTAAACAGCTCTAATGATACCTGATAATGATATTAGCATCCCATCCCCTAATGATCTCGTAGACATCTGAGTCTGACAACCCGAACAAGCTGGTGTTCTTCACTTGCCCATTTGAGATCAGCTTTCAGCTCCATCACCTTCCTCCATCTATAGTCTGGGAACAGGATCAACGGTAGGTCAGGGATGCGGCCGCACGGGTAGAGAAATGAGAGAGGGAGAGAGAGAGAGGGGCAAATGAGCTCAAATGAGGGACATGGAACCAAAACTCTTGCCCAACTATATGGTGGCATGCCACATTAGCAGTTAAGTAGTGTGCGGAGAGCCGGGCTGAATCAGATTGGTACAATAAACCGAGTTTATGATGCCGAAAATGCAAATCATAAGTACTGATCTGTTTAAGAACGCTGGTAGAGTTTCACTCTAATTACTATATACCGCCTTAAAAGAACTCTACTCAGCCGACCGAACTGAAAAGGGCAAGACTAGCACCCGGCCTACGACTGCTCTGTTCCCGCGCATAGGGCGTGATTGGTTGGGGAAAGCAGCTCCAACCTGGCCCGTCGGATGCACGTGTGCACCGTTTGGTTGGCTGCACGAGGCCTTCAGCCTGGCCCAACGGATGCAAAGGCAGCCGCTCAGCCTGGCTGCCAGGAAACGAAAACCAGGCCAACTTCGTTGCTGGCGAGCCTGGCTCCGGCGCTGCAGCTGGCGCATGCGCGAGGTCTTCTCCAGTCTTGCGAATGCTCCCATCCGGCCGAAACACAAGCAACCAAACAGAAGCTCAATGAAGCCTGGGCCGCCGGAAGCATTTGAGCCAAACAATGATGGTAGCACGGGCGCAGCCTGGCCGCCCTTGGCCTGGCTCTGGCGCCCAGTCTGGACGGCCCATGTACCTGAACCAATCACGCC